CCTCCCCCATTGTGTGTGTGTTGACGAACTAGTGCAAATTACGGGACTGTGAACTGGGGGAAGAGGGTAGGCTTTCATTTGTTTAGGAGACGTGAGTGCGAAAAATGCACTCATTATGCTTATATTTGCAGAAATCATTAAAAAAAGTTTTGCAAATGGGACATAAATAAAGAGATAAGCTTTGTGACAAATTTTAATGTGTGATACAGTGACCATTCATATTCCAGGCTCCTGTTCCAGGGAAGATACAGAATTATTGCTTTGTCACAGAAAAGTAATTCACATGGATTTCTTGTAGCATTCTCCCTCCTATTTCCCTGGTTTTGAATCACATCCACAACAACTGAAAACCAATCGCCAAGATGACGTTAATACATTATTGCATAATATACCATATACACAATGTTGAAATAAAAAAAAAAGATGCAACATTCATGCAACACTATATCAATCTGTATGACACAATCACAAGACACTTGTACAAGCTTCAGTAGAATTTCAAGATATAGGCCTATTAAAATCTGTGTTAGTAAGATTGAGAAAGCATCATCTCAACATGATGCTAGAAAGGGGGGTCATGTACATTTTACTGTACTTGGCACAAATCCAGGGGCCTGTTTGTTTCGTATGGATCTGGATCTTGAACAACGATCTCAACGTTGGTTTGCACCATCTATTAGGCAGGTTCTGGTGTCAGTGAACCAACATCAATCATTTATCCTGATCCATATCCATGTGAAACCAAACACGCTTTTAATATGCAGGATTCAGCATCTTGCTCAAATTCACTGGCCACAGAATGCATAGCTAAAAAAAATATTTTTATTCTTGTTTGGGTATACCGGTATATGTAGACCACACATCCTGAATGCCAAGAGAGGGCGATATCTACACGTAACTATCTCACGTGAAGATCTTCAAACAAATTGCCAGCGTGTGGGCATTGCTTTGTAAGGGAAATTCAGACCACTAAGATTGTTGCACAAATGGGGCATGGAGGGAAACTAGGGTGTAACTTAACATTTTAATGCCATCACACAGAAAGTGATACATTGTGGTGCTTTAGTAACCATACAAAAATCAAGTTCCTCCATGTTACAGCTGACGCTGTAAGTTGTGATTTGATGACCGTGCGTGCAAGTGCATCACATGCACATCTTGCCTTTCTGTCTGAACAAACAAATTGGGCACACATCAGCAGTCAAATTAATGCATTCATCCCCTCCCCCTCAACCTGCATGTGCCCTGGCCAACTGTCCCCCAAATTAAATTTCACAGTTGTCGCTGGGAGTGGGAAAACATCAAACAGTCCATGCTGGGGCGGCGGAAATTTGCTAATTTGAATGCAGTTCGATGGAAGGAAGCTCTAGGAGGGGTGGGCATGTGGAAGGCCTATACGTGTGCTAGAGTTCAGACTTTTACTTCCAGAATCTACATCAATGTGCCAGCATCCTCATGAAGTTACTTTCCAAAGAAAGCCAAACCAGCTTCCCACTGTTCTCATTTTATCACAAGACACCGATACATCTCAACTTCCTTAAATAAGCTGTGCAAGGGACACAGCCTTGGTTGAATTGTTACACAAGCTTAGCAAGAGAGCAGAGACGTAATAATAAGTTTACAGCTTTTGTTTTTCAATGGAGCTCCTGGACCAAATGAAATGCACTGATGCTATTTTATGCACGCCCTATCACTCTTGATTAATTACAACATAGCAATCCAATGACCAGGCACTCAGGAAATTTGAAGCCAAGCTCCTGACGCAAGTACACATCCAAATAGAAACCAAATCACAGAAACCTGAAAACTGCTCAGAGTTAATGCTGCAGACAATGCCACGTCTGGTGAAGATTCGCAAGATCAGATAAGAGCTCCTCTTTTTCAGAGAAATGCTGATCAACTTGTATCTTGGAAATCCATGTCTGCAAAGCTACTTTTATAGGATTTGTGATTCTAAGAAAATAAAGCCAGCAAACAAGAGGCTTGTGACTGGTATAAAGACAGCACTGGTACCAACACCCTTTGAAATCATTCTGTCCAAAAACATGCTGTAGGCCCTAATTTATGAAACATCAGGAACTGGTCATTGGAAATGAGTTCTCGAATTAGCTGAAGAGTTATTGAAAATATCAGGCAGCTGAGGTATGGAGGTAACAACTGCCTCCAAACTGATAACAAATTTATTTCTGTTTTCTGTCTTATTTATTTACTCCTTGCTGATGGTGAAAGGGGGGGGGCTTCAAAGTGCAGGGTGGTGCTTTAGATAAGTAGCCTACAAGAAACCTATACAGGTAAAAACAAAAGGGCGGTGAAGGGATGTTTGCTTTTGAGGTGGAAGGAAAACCTACCAAGTCAGGCAGGGATCAAAATACAATCTACAAGTCAGTTTGGGTGGATTCAAACCTGAGTCGTGGAGGTGAAAAGTGAGAACCACAGCAAAACCTAACCGGAACAGTCTCTGCTCATCTTTCCTGAATGACTGTAGACTGGCAAGGTATCAATAATCAAATGGTGAAGTGCACTTTAAATAGCTCTCCTCTCAAAAAAGAAACAGAAAAACAATGTAAGTCATTACAACATGACCCACAATGGACAAAACCATATAACCAGAAACATATCTGCTGTCAAACTGACCTTCTTACTATCAATTAAAGTGACCTTGCGGCTCCCATAACGACTTCTCTCCTCCTAAAATTTTCCAGCTCTTTTGATAAATGATATGCCATTGCAAACTGCATGAGTATGTAGACTGGGCTTTCCCATCAAGCTGAATGCCTCTGAGTTGGGGGGGGGTTCAAAGCCCATCACTGTATCCCTCCATCAGTCTGATTTCTGATTGATGGACACAGGAAAAGTTTTGACAATGCATCAAAATAATGATGTCCTCAATTTCAGGGAAGTATTGTCCAGTGCTTGTCAGACAGCCAAGCAATATCTGATTGCTGGGTAAGTTGAACTACGGTCGAACATCAACCTCAAACAGGGAAACTACACAGGTATTACTATTAGGAGATAAGCTTTAGTGACAAGGTGTTGCACAATACAATCCCTTGATGACACATCATGAAGGGGATCACACACCTGTTTGGCACTTGAACAAAACAGGCCCAGAAATCCCATTCCAACACAAAATGACATCCATTGCATCAATGCTGGGTTCATACTTGCCATGAAAGTGAACACAAATGCAAGTTTTGTGATGTCATTTCAAATTTGTAGAAACATTTCGACTCAAGCAAAATTCACTGAAAATGTTGTGAGAGGTCAACTCTACTTCTTTTTCGTATTAACCTGAGGTCTGAACCTGCCTTTAGTTGTAGCATTTACTGTCAAACTAAAACTAGGACAGCTACATGCATGGTCAAATACTTTTGAGTCAAATGCATATTACGATAAAAAGCAGTAATAACTGGAACTCCGGTAGTAAGTAACACAGTGTGATTTGAGCACTCATAAATTCAATGATGGTTACTTATCTGAGAACCTAGATAAAGGCTACGTTGAAATTGTCCAACTATTGGCAAAAGGACGATTACTCAAATTGGTTTTACGAATATTGAAGCATTTCTTTGAAACCTGTGTAAAGTGTTGTGTTCAAACACATATCTATACTCAGTCAAAGTACTCAGTCAACAGACTGTAGCCTTGGTGATGATAACTGTGCCATCTACATGTACATGTAATTTAGGTAATGTACTGTACATAGTGGTACAAAGTACATACATGGAATAACACGGGCATAAAAAAATCTTATTATTTGAAAGCTCTGGAAAAATTTGGCAATTGATTCCAAGAGTAATGATCTCTTAATATGCATAAGTTGCCAAAAGCCTAACTGTTAATTAGAACCATAGCCTTCCTAACTACAGTTGTACTTTACAGTAGAAATGTGAGAGTTTCAAACTGCGTGTACCATAAAGCACATGGAAAAAAAATAAAATGGAGCAGCTGAGCCAAAGAAATTGACATGAATATCTGACAGAGATTAATGGCACTTAGCTCTGGTCCTGTGTGACCCCCTCCAACCTATCCTCCTTTGGGGTTAATTTGTGTACTCTGCAAATCCCATGAAAAAAATAATCCCTGGTTACCTGGAATATTATGTGAGGCGCTGTTGCGTCTTGGTGCCTACAGTGGCAGGGTTCCCTGTGTACATAAACAAGGATTTCCCTGTGAAAGCCTGCAACTGGGTTGGGTTTTTTTGTATCTATCCCATCAGGGGGGGGGTTGGGAGTCAAGAAGAGGGGACGCGCTGGTATTTGCTTATCAAAACACTTTTATTTTCATAGCAGGAGTTTGGGTGTTGAGGGAATCGGCAATAACTTGAGTGATTGAAATTCTCAAAAGGATTACACTTTTTATACATCTGGTCTTGGTCTAGATGATGACAATGGTGGTTTGGAGACAAGATGACAGATATGAATTTGACATGCAAAAAAGATTTGCGGGGACAATATCTTTAAACCTCAAAGTATTGTTGTGGAGGAAGTGAAGTTATTCAGATACAAGATGCTGGTGATGTATACAGCAAGTGAAAATGGTGCAGGAACCATGAGAAACTGATGGCTAGGTGCCTGAAAACTTAACTAAAAATTAAACAGAGAGAGGCATGAAAAAGAAGAGGATGATGGAAGGGTATTAAGGGATATGATTTGTGGTTTGTATTTTTCTGGTTGCATGAATACCTTAGGAGATGTAATCATGTCCATCAACAGCCTGTTAAAAAGTCAATAAAACATGTAGCTCCAATTCTCTGTGTCTCATCAGAAGGAAAAGAGGGATGAGCAGTGAGAAAGAAGCAACTGACTGAAGCAGACTTGAGCCCGGCAAAACTGCCAGTCGCACGTCTGGGTCACAAGTCAATTCACAAGTCCAGTCAGGAGCCACTGAGTGGATGAACAACAAAGGAAAGCCACCGCCACAGTTCACTGGAAAGGACTGGATGACTACGGATGGATTTGCGATTGACTTGTGGGAACTGGACAATAGTAACAGCTTCGAAAGGTTGGAAGATGAGACAGGGAATTTGTGTCTGCCAGGCAGAAATGGATGGAAACTGAAGAAGTTATAAAACTGCCTTGTGCCTTGCTCAAACCGGAAAAGAGGTTGAAGAGTGAGGAGCGTGTCACCAAAGCAACAGGTACGGAATAAAGGAAGCCACTGTGGATGGTAATTCGTTCAAAGATTAAATAAAGGCAATGATGGATCTGTAATGGAAATATACACAAATGTGATCCCAATTTAACAACTTCTTTCTGTGGGTCAATGTCACAATGTTCGGTCTCATTTACCATTAAGCTACATCAGCAAATCAGTTCTGGTGTAGGGAGCGTGTCGATATGCGTACATAGGAATGTCTGGCACCGGGGCAAAATGACCAATTAGGACCCGTCACAAAATAGCAAAGAGGCCTCCCGGAGTAACAGACAATTTGTACGGTGTTAAAGGCTGATACATCCCCAGCTGTTTGCCAGGTGCCCAGCCTCCGCAATCCCCCTGGTGGCACCCGTCTGCCTATTCCCTGAAGTTTATTATCACAGGACCATCACAGAGCCCCCAGGGCTGGCAGTGACGCTGAGGTATGACCGACAGCTCCTCCGTTTGCATATTTCTTCCCAACATCAACAAGCGGTCCTCGCTGGACCATCACCCCGTTGACAGACACAAACGATGTGGCATCAGCGACCCCTTGACCCCAGGCTCATTATTCATGGGCCTGATGTATACGACTCGGCAGCTTGTAACCAATTGGCACCTCATAAACATTCTTCCCTGGCCCCTTGGTTTATATTACCAGCACTTCAGGTATGCAGGGTAGTCATTAAGGCGCAGGTTCCCCTTTGCAGAGTCAGAAGAAAGAAAAATAAAGAAAAATAAGGGATCAGGAAAACCCAAGGAAGTTAATCTCCAAAGTCCATGTGTGCATACCTCAAATTCTGTCAACAGACTTCTTCCCCCTCCTATGATCAGTGCTGGCACAATTTCAAGTTCACTTTCAGATGCCTCCACACCTACACCACTAAGATGCTCGATGGATAAAAATTACAAGCAGGACACAAGGAGTGCTCGCAAAACGTCATTAGCGGATTTGAGAAATGGTTTTCGGAACCATAGTCCGTGTTTAAAGTGTGGTTAACATGCAGTGAGCTAAGGCGGATATTTCATTATGCTAAGCAAGGCTATCAATATGACTGAGCAGTAGTAAATAATGAAAAGATCTTAAGGCTGGTTTCATAAACTTAAGGTGAGTGTGAAAGAGAAGCGAATTTGATGTCAGGACAATTTCGCTCCAGTTGAAATGTGTTCAACTTTATGAATTCGAAATGCAAATATTTCATCTGGCAAATCATCACAAATTGCCATTCGTTTTCACTTTCGCATGAAATACGAACCAGCTTTTGTTTTTATGATATCTATAAAATTCACATGTGGTAACAAAGTCACAGAAATAAGTATAAAATTCTGAGGATTAGTCTTTTGCTATTGCTAATAAGTATATAATGAGGGTCATTCTCTGTAATTTTCCTTGGCTTAAATTTTCATCAATTTAAACTACACAAAATATACTGTCCGTTCTTTGTTCCCAGTTTTTACCTCTGTTCCAAACCGATTCCATCATTATTTTATCGACTTTCTTATTTGTGAACATTGTGCATGAGCATGACTAAGTCTTTCCCACCAAACTCGGGAAAATGCATCAGCCACATGAAATGAACCAGTCAACCTGAATCACACAGTAGCATTTTTGTGAAAGAAGATGAGGGCATTCAAAAATCTCCATGCAGTCTTACACAACCTATTGTCTTACTTCAACAAAGAACACACTGTAAGTGTGACACTGTGAAGTTAAGCTGCTAGATCCTCATTGTTGGTTCAGGCTCTAGATCTGATTGAGGGAGTCTGATCTCCCTTCTCAATCTGACCACTGAATCCAATTCAAGGGTTTGCCCTAGATGGCCACTACACAAAAATGACAGTTTACTTCACAACAGAAATGTTGTCTTTTGCTCATCCAAATAGAATTCCTCCGCAACCACCACCGCCCCTGCACCATCACTACCACCACCAGGATGATCTCAGACATCATACAGCACACCCTAGCTCCTCCTCCTTCCCATGGCTCCCGATTTACTCTCCACTGGCCTGTTAAAAAATCCACAAATCCTCTCCTCCCTGGCCCAGAATGTGACAAAATGCTCTTTCATCACCGGACAAATACACCACCAGGTGGTACCCCCTCCGCTGTTCTTGCAGGGACCACTGTCATTAAGTGGTCTTTCAGCCCTGCTGTCAGGATCAGGAAGAAGAGGTGGATGCTGCATCAGAGCTTAGATAGCATTCCCCTGGTGAGGTTGCAGCCGCTGTGAAGGACACAAGAGGAGCAGGACTTTTCTCCCTGTATCTCGCATCAGCCAGAATCTTGATTAAGCATGCCATCATGACAACTCCACTTTCCCCTGGATTCACTGTCGTAAATTGTCTGATTATGCTTGAAATGATGTTATAAATGACTCTGTGGGATACCTAAAGGTTGGGGAGATGCTTTTCAACTGGATTCAATGCATTCCTTCCTCCCACCTCCTAAATTTTGATCACTGCTAATCACAAATCAACAGCCAGCCTACAACAGCTTCTCAGCAGGAGTTTAATAAATGTGTCTCTGATTAAAGTGTTCTTGAGTAATTGAAGCGAATTTATGGCAGGCTTTTACACCACAGTTTATCCATCTAGTCTTTCATCAGCCGGCAACATGCACTGCAGGACTTTATTAGACTGTTTTGCTACTAACAACAAATCCCAGCGTCTGAGAAGAAAAGTTGATGAGAAAAATCAAACCTGTTGTACCAACTGAATTGTTGTCAATCATTTTATTCACACTGCAGAAATAACATTTCCACTGACTATGAATAAATTTTCTAAAATTTGTCAATACATCAAACAATTTAGACCCTTCTATCATCAAACCATTCATAAAAATTATACTTACATTTAGCTTGAACGTTGTGCAAGTCGACTTACAGTTTTCTGTTATAAAGAAATATATTCTCAACAATGAGAATCCACTGGTTTAAATCCAGCTAAAAGGAAAAAAAAGTTTTTTGACCTAGTTAATTACAATGTATTAAATAATTGCTGTCTAACCAGGTTATTGCTGACTTGCACAAGGCAGCCAATGGTGAGGCACTTTTGTATGCCTCCACCAATAGAACTGCAAGAAAGTTTCTGTGCCACAAAGTTTCTGTGTCATGAATATTGATAACATGTACAGTATGGCCAGTATACATTTGATACATTTGGATAATCCGGTCATATGCCTTATTTCTGTTATGAATGCAGTTGTATGGGGTAATTTGCATATAAGTAAACTTCTTCATATAAAGAAGTTTATGTATGTGACATGTATGCAAATTATATTCGAAAATTCCTTCAACTAAAGTGGAATATTTGGCAATAAAATCTGCCATACCAAACATGTGCACGGACAACTAAGTTAGGAGAATCATCTACGCTCAGAATATATAATTAGTAACAGTAATTTGGGGGTGGGTGTTAATTTTTGGTCATTAAAGCCAGAAAAAGTTACCAAGTTGGTTAAAACATAATTTATTGTCTGCTTGGGGTGAACACCTTCTAAGGCACAGAGTCCAACTTTAGATCAATATATCTGGCAAGAAGCATGCTTCAACCACTTGCCCCAAGAAAAGGCTATTATTGAACTGGTGTAATTGTCCCAAGGCCACAATAAACCCATCAATGGTCCTTTTTCTGACCCTGAATGGGTGGGATGGTGGGTGGGGGGCTTGTCATCTCTGTCTAGGTGAGTTTACCACATGTTCATGTTGCAATTTAATCCGAAAAGTTCTCTGTCTCCCCTCCCCTTTTTTAATGTTAGTCTGCTGAGTGGCTTTTTAGTCCAAGCCAGGGACCACCCAATGTTGGCACTTTCAGACTCCATGTCCACATGTACTTTTTGTTGAGATTAGATTTCTTATGAATATTCTTCTGGAAGACATGCTTGAATTTGGACTGACCATCAATCATATATTCAGATGTTTCAGGGAGAGGAAGGAGGTAATCATAAATTTTGTAAACCAGGTGCTTGAGGAACCTGGGGACATCTAATTTTCCACATTAGGGGACAAATATTGAACAAAGAAAGAAGAAGTTAATTTTGAACATATTGACAAGCTGCCACCTGACTGGCGCATAAATCTCTGGGTAAATTACTTATTTAGAAATTGGGCTATGCTTAACTTTCTCTTGTATGTACAATTAATAGAGGGGGTGGTTTTCCCCCAAAAAACAACTTAGCAAAATCTGGGCAACCATGAACATCACTCTTTTCTTGAAGTTTTCTGCAATGTTTGTGACACAGTGCTTTTGTGGGAGGGGGTAGTCACTTTTGGGGAAAAGAGTAATGCAGACAGATAGATCTCCTGTCAATAAGACTTGGTTGAACACACATCAATGTCTTCAGTTAATTAAGGACTGAAAGCCTCTAGACTTATCTTACATGGTGACAAGTCAAGCTAAAGGATAAAAGCCAAATTCCTCATAAGTGTGTATGTAAGCATACGGATGTAACTACCTACAGGGTCAACCTTTATGATTCATTTCTCTTCAACACCTTCAAATCCTCCACAAACCAACAAATACAGCACCAGGGTGACCCACTGCCCTCAAAAGCTGCAAGTACTCAACCCTCTGGTAATATTCACCCTGATGTGTTGCTGGGGATCTCAAAACTGAAAACTCAGAACTGAAACGTGGTGTCAACACCCCTTGCCAAATTGCTTCTGAGGGGGGGGGAGAAAGTTCTCTGGCAAGCACCATCAGTAAAAACAGGACGTAAATCAATTGTCTATATCCTTGCTTGCAGCTGACCAAGTGACCACCAAAAGCCCCATTAGGGAATTTGTGAATTTACCAACTATTTCTGGGGAAAAAAGTGGGGCAAATTTCTGTCCAAGAGGAAGCATCTGATCCTGGAGCAGTGACTGTTTGGGTGAAAAATTTATGAACCAACCGGTTATGATTTGTTTCAAGAAGTGGACAGTGCATCTTCTGAACACCCATGTGTATATATATATGGAGATTCATAAAGTAATCTCAAATTGGTCACTACAGGTTTAAAGTCACAAAGTGTCACAGTTTCAGAAATCTGAATCAGTATCCAAAATCAGGATACTAGAAAATGCCTCTTTTGTCTCCTCTTCAGATGACTTTTGTCTGGTACTATTGCCAGCGCAAGACATAGTGGAGGCTATTAACGACAAACACAGTTGGGATACACAGGCGTGATCACAAATTCATAGTGCACATGACCAGAGAATCAAGGTGCCGACTAGTGTACACACAAACATAAATGCATGAGATGATCTGTTCAAATGAACAGCTGAGGATGATTTGCAAAGAGAGAAACAGACACAGGTGTTAAGTTCAAGAGAAAGACAAGGGGTAAAACTGTAAATGACGGAGCTAATACATCAACTGCTAATAAGAAACTGTCAAGTATTACTGTTATACTCCTTTACACACTGAGTTCTTTAAATTCACGTGAACATAACAAGTTGAATTCTCTACACTAAAGACACCGTTGCTATACCTCAAGATTCGGGGCAAGGATTTGCTTAGAATAAGACAGGCCTTCAACCAATACACTGTTCACAATGGATAACAAGGGTACAAAGGAACCAGATCATTCCACGGGTGGTAGTCACTATGCAAAGCTTGCCCTGAATTGTGAGGAGTATCAACAGTGTCTTTAGTCTGGAAAAATTCAAATTGTTATGTTTATATGCAATCAGATAACTCAGTGTACCAGATTTTATTCAAATTTAACTTGCAAAAGGCAAGTGACTAAGGGGAAGGACTGAACTGACTCCTTTCAATGCACCTGGGGGTATGTAGAGGTAGAGGCTCAGAGTGATTTCAATTATGACAACAATGAGGCAATTTCTGGCCTGATCTATTACCAAAGCCTGGCATATCCTCAACATCACTAGGCATTATATACAGCCACCATTGTAAAAAAAACTCTCTCTGATTACAATAACTGCTGTTCATCCAACCTGGGTACCAGCTAACGGCTCCCAGGGGACAGGTGATAAACAGCTAGAAAGTGACTTGAGAAACAATAAGGATGGAGTGACCTCGGTGTGACCTTAAGGGGGAACAAGAACCTCAGCGAGGTCAAGCAATTCCACTTATGTGGGAGAAGAGTTTCAGAATATTGTGGGCCAGACATAAATATCACAAGGGCCATGTTGGTATTTGTGTTTAGTACCAGCTCATTCAAAGTTTTAATGGAGACAGTCCAGAGGGCTTTTGCTGCTATCAGATCCAGGTAGTATATAATGTGAAACTGATTCAATGCCAGATGTTTAAGAAGCTCAGAGCTGATTCAAAGCCCAGCACCATCCAACATGACCAGTGTCTGTGGAAGAATGGAACCAAAAACACAAACAGTACAGGGGTCAAAGTGTCACAGGATTTCATAGTGGACACTTCATCTCTCTGAATATTAACTTTTTTTCAGTTTACCAAAAAGTAAATATGCTGACTCAAAACTGGTTCCTCATGAATACACTTTGTAACTCACAAATAACAAAACTCAAGTTTATTGGCTAGCAGCGAAACATTCACAACCAACACTACACCATTTTCAGTCAAAAATCAAGTCATTTCATTACTCCTTCCTCAGTCTCCACTGTAAGGTGTTCCAAACCTGGTTCCACGCCCATCCTCATACAAAGTAATTAGCCACCCAACTTCCACAGCCCCTTTACTCAGTGACCACTTAGTATAAAGCGTTTGCTTATCGAGGGATGCCAGTACATAAGAAAAAAATTTATTTAGAATAAATTGGTGTCGACAAAACATGGTGAGGCAAGAATAACACAGTTGAAAACATGCCATGAGAAAACTAAACACAAGGGTAAAGACAACGATCAACTGGAGGAAATGCTGATGCTGCACTCTTTGGTAATATTAAATCTGTGTACCTAAAAGATAAAATGGAAACAAAATCATGTGAAAAGCCCCTTATGCATTCTTGTTCTGTTTTAACATCAGATACCAAGTTATGAACTGTCTTTCAAGGTGATACAACTTATAATAAAAAAATTATATGAGAACAAAAAAGGTCGATTCTCACAGGGCGGCAAAAATCCAAACAGCCACCCTCTCTCTTTGTTGTTTTTTTTTAAATGAGTAACTTGCTCAAAACAGGTACTCTGTAGAAATTTAGCACAGCTTATATCAACTCCTCTGTTTCCTAAAAGCTGAACTACTAGTGTGATTCGCAAGACAAACCATGACGGAATTGGACTATTCACTAGCTGTGTTCTTGGGGTTTGACCCTTAGCATAAATCTGCCAGTCTCGTTCACACACTAGGCACACGCAGCCCTATTTCTGTCTCCGTACCAGTAATGATCCAATGAAAGCCATCTCTCAAGGGCCAGTCATTCCAAGCCTTCAAGGAGCCTTCCATGGGGGAAGGGGAAGCTCAAAGAAGCTTGAAGTGCGGCCGGGGTGCACAGCAAGATCAAAAAGGTGTCATGTGGTTCTCCAATCCGTGTGACGACAGAGCCAATAAGCATTTTTGTTTTCTTTGCTCATTTGCCGGTTCACATCAGGATACATCTTTTAATTTCTGGTCCCCTGATTGGTGTCGAATTTAGCTCAAGGGTGCGTGCTGCGACAGGATTGCATGGCTAAGCAGTGTCAGTCAAGGGAAACCTCTCATTTTCATGGTGGATGGGAGATGAGAAATCCTGAACAACACAGCGGACAACACAAGACACCTTTCATAAGATGCAGACCTACAGAGCTAGCCCTGGATCCAATCAGCAAGTGGAAACGTGACGGGTTATATTATTAAGGATTCAAAGTGCTGGTCATGAAATCTAAGTGTGAATATGATGCATGTACCTTGACAAAGAAAAAGTCAGAGATCAATAGCATGTATATCATCATCA